CAGGAATCATACGGCCCGAATCACTGAGTACGAACATAATTTTCTCCTTAATTCTCATGAAGAATCTTTTAACACAAAAATGGGTTTTGCTCTTAGAACCCTAGAAAGAAGTCTAAACCCAGAGCCAGTCTTGCTGTAATAGCTTTTAAAACACAAACAAAAGAAAAAACAAACAAACAAAACACATCATTTTATTTTTTTGGCCGTGCTGCGCAGCATGCGGGATTTTAGTTCCCTGAGCAGGGATCGAACCCATGCCACCTGCAGTGGAAGTGCAGAGCCCTAACCACTGGACAGCCAGGGAAGTCCCTTGCTGTAACATCTTCATCAGAGCAGGCTTCCTCTGAGCGAGATGTCAGAGGGCAAACTCTGGGAGAGAAGCTGACGGAGGGCGGACGCGGTGAGGAGGTGGCCCTGGAATCAGACAGGCTCCAAATTACTGTCTCCCTGCTCAGTGAGAGGCTGGGCCCACCGCACCTGCAGGAGAATCCATGAAGGTGCTTGGCCTCACGACCAGCTCTCGAACTCTGCTTGCAGGTGGACACGCAACGTTTATAAAACCAGGAGGCACCTGCAAAGCTTACGGTTTTGTAGATACATCGTTATATAAAACAGAAGGAGAGCAGTTCGTGGAAGACACCCCGTAGAGAGGATGTAAACCGTGTTTCCCTGTATCACGTGACCTTACACTATGGATGACATGCGTAGCTACAGTCTACTATGTTGTTGTTGTTGTTTTTTTTGATGGCCTCTGTTCCTTTTAATTTTAAGAGGGAACAAGACCTTTTTTTCTAAAGCAAGAATAATTCCCTCCAGCAAATCCCAGGTGTGAACTTGTAACCTGTCGTTGGCAGTGACAGCATTTCTGAAGGGGCAGCAGCAAACTGTGGACATGTGGTTCCCAAAGCGAGGTCCTGCAAGGCCCTCCTTTCCCAGGTGTTGCCACAGACCACACCAGAGGCAGAGGAGAGAATCCAGCTGTCTCCTCAAGCCGAGAGTCCTAAAATGTCAACCATGCTGGCATCTCTCCAAAGCCTTTTTTGTTCTTGTCTTGGAGACCATAGTTAATTTCCATTTAAAATGTTCGTGGGATCATTCTTGTTTATTTTTAGTGGCCTTGTTAGTTTTAGTGAATCATTATATAGCTGTTGTAAACAGCTGCTCTGGGTCACGTGGATGTGATTGGATTTGTCTGTGAATGCTGACTGCAGAACTGCAGAGCCCTGAAGAAAACCCTGCTCCCTTTGGGGCTCATCCTTCTTACCCGAAAATACGACTGTGCCTTTCAGAGCCAAGCTGGGCATGCCGCAGTTCCTCAGCGTGGAGGCTCAGAGTCTTCTGAGAGCCCTCTTCAAACGGAACCCCTGCAACCGGCTGGGTAAGACTCCCTGAGCCCCCCGGGCCCGCCCCGGGCCGCCCACATGCTCACACTCTGCTCTGGTCTGGCCCCGCATTTCACCACGTTCTCTGACAGCAAAAGGCACTGACGCAGGGGTGGAAGTTCTGTCACGTGTTGTCCGAGCTCTGAGGATTTCAAAAACACACGGTCGCTGCCCAAGTATTGCTAGCTAACAGTCACCGTTTTTACACAAAATGGTGGCACTTCAGAACTCCGTAAACTAGAGACAGAACCCTGGAAAAGCCACCCCATCTAATTTGTCTTTGAATGTTACAGAGAGATCATAATGGTTTGCCCAGTTCTGATTTGGATCATGAATTAATTGATTACTTTTCGTTAATGTCTCCATCAGTTCAAGAGAGACACTGAAATAATCTCTGCTAGTCTAAGGCCAACTTGTTGTTCAGCTCAGCAGATCTTAACCCGATTTAGAACACACCTGCCTCAGAATCCAGTTTGCAGGGCTGTGAAACATCAAAGTGCACGTAAACATCTTTTGCACATCATTTCTGCCCCTGTCTGAACCCCTGAGACTGCCCAGTCTAGAGCCGCACCCCCATCTGGTATCATCAATCTTTTAATGTTTGATCCCAACAATTACTTTGGGTTAATTACCCCTTTATTTTGATTCTGTGACTCCTTCCTGGTGCTCTACCCAGGTACACAGCCTCTCACATTCCTCTGCCGATTGGTTCTTTCACAAACCAGGTAAATAAGTCATTTCTCTTCCTGAGCCTCTGGTTCCTCTCGGGATGACAATGATACACATGGAATTCTGCACTAGTAAAATTATTATCTCATTCAAATCCTCACAATACTACAAAGTAGATAAAAGGAGAAATGTTAGATTCACTTATGAAAAGAGGTATATCCCTAAGAATTGCTTTTAGCTGCAAAGTAAAGAACTCTTAAATAATTTAAAATTATTTAACCCAGCTAATTTAATGTTTCAAACTGCAGTGTATTCTTCTCACATTACAAGCTGTGTTGCAGTAGAGGGTTGTAAGCATTGGCTGGGCAGCTGAACTATTGCTCTCAAAAGCCCGGATAGGTCTGTCTTCTTAGTTTACCAGCCTTAGTGTATTGCGTTTTCATCCTCACACATGGTACCTTATGATCACAAAATAGCTGCTGCAGCTCCAGGCATCACATTCATGTTGAAGGGAGCACAAGGTGGCTCCTGACCAGAGCTTCCCAGCTCTGTGGGCACAGGGTCCCACATGTATCCCCCACCCCCCCAGGATCCCGGGGCCCCGCCTCACCTCATCATGCATCCTAGGAAACCGGCCGCATCATAGCTCATCTTCTGGTCCCTGTGGTTGACAGACTGTGCAGGTCTGGGGCACCACGTCCCTCTGGTGTTTCAGAAATGCCTGCTTTTTAGGCAACTGGGGGAATATTGGGGTTCCGTACTGATGGTCTCAGGCTGACCACCCACCTTTGGGAGGTAACTAATTAAAAAAGAGTTCCCCCCCCCCCAGTTTGACTGTTCTCTGATGGGAGTGATGGAGAATGGCTCGGTGTTTCGTGTAAAATAGGATATGGGGGTCTCTCACCCTCCGCCCTCCTTTTCTCTCCAAGTCTCAACCCTCACCCTCCCTCGAACTATCATGATTCTCACAACTTGATTCTTTTTTACTTCTCCCTTCGCCTGTAGAGAACTCCCTGAAATTTCACTGTAATTGGATTTAATGAATTGTGTGAAAATCTCAACTTGTTTTCATTTTATATGGAATTTTCTTTCTGTGGAAGAATTGGACAAAAAATATCAAGATTTAGAAAAACACAAGGAAGATAATACATAAAATCACAGTCTTGAGGAATAAAATGGTGTATTTATCAGACCCAAACACGAGGTGAGGGTCTCAATTTTTACCTAAAGGCCTCCCTATGTCATAAAGCGGCTAGCCAGAGCAATTTTTTTCTTGGATCATGAATTAATTGATTACTTGCTATACTTTTTACTTGATTACTTGCTATACTTTTTAACCAGTGAGTGCCTGTACAGTTCTTTGTGATATCTTATCCCCCTCCTGTCTTTTCCAATTGTGGTAAAATACACATAGCAAAAAGTATATCGTCTTAACCATTTTTTAAGGGCACAGTTCAGTAGTCAAGTACATTTGCAGTGTTGGGCAGCGTCAACACCTTGCATCCACAGAACTCTTTTCATCTTGCAAAACTGAAGCTCTGTCCCCATGAAACAAGAAACCCCCATTCGCACTCCCCCCCAGCCCCTGGCACCCACCCTTCTGCTTTCTGTCTCTGTGTTTTGACTCCCCTTGGGGCCTCATGTCGGTGGAAGCATACAGAATTTGGTTTTTCGTGTCTGGCTTATTTCACTTAGCATAATGGCCACAAGATTTATCCGTATCTTAGTATATGCCAGAATTTCCCTGATTTTTAAGTTGAATAATGTTCCGTGGAACAGATGTACCGCACTGTGCTCATCCGTCCTCCATCCGTGGACATTTGGGTTGACCCACCTTTTGGCTGTTGTAAATAACGCTGCTACGAACATGGGTGTGCAAATAACTCTTCAAGACCCTGAGCTCCAGAAGGGGGAATTCCTGGGTCCGATGGTAAATTCTATTCTTAGTTTATTGAGGAGCCACCTGACCATCTTCCACAGTGGCTGTGCCCTCTTCCTAACTGTACAAGCGTTCTGGAGCATTTTAGCCTCTCAGTCCGGCATGGCGGCCCGTGTCTGGAACCGTCCATTGTGCTGAGGTGTGAGGACAGAGGAGCCCTCGGCAGGGGGTGCTTTTGCCCCAGTCTTTCCATACGTCAGTTGAAAATGTCTGTCAAAGTAAAGCACATACTCTTCATCCAAGTAATTCCACTTCTGGGATGTTTCCTAGGACGTAGTCGCACAAGTACCCAGAGACATGTGGGATGTTGTTAGCGCAGGAAGGAGGGGAAGAAAGGAGCCCGCGTTCCCACCACCGACGGACGGTTCAGGGAAGCGGGGTCCGTCTACCCGGGAGGTGAGGCAGGTCTGCACCACTGGCTCGGAGATGCGTCTCAGCCAGAAATGAAGAGTTAAGGAAAAATGGCAAATGTCCAGAATAATCCTAGTTTTAGAAGAGAGGGAGGGAGGTGAGCAAAGGAAATTTCTGGAAACACACAAGTAGCTGTTAGCAGTGAGTGTGGAGGGCCGGGTGGGGAGGTGAGTTTTTCCTGTCACCCCAGACATGTCAATAGTTTGATTCTTTAATCAATAACACACACTCGTTTTATGATGAAAAGCCTAGTTTTTTAAAATTTGGTTTTGAGAGAAACACGGGATATTCAGAGACTTCTGTGTGGTGCAGGAACCCATTCTTGGCCTCGGAGCTGCCCAGACGGGCAGATGGCAAGAGTGTGGACTCGTCGGGGGCTTGGGGCCTGGCCTGCCTTCCTGTCGGCAGATACTAAGGGCCCTTTAATTAGGAAGGAGGGGGACGATGTGTATGCGACCCAGAAACACACGCACCTTCACCGGTTCCCTGATACTTTCCAGGCTCTGGCGCTGGGGAAACAGTGGAGCAAAACTGCGGCCCTCGTTCTCATGGGGCCTCTAGGATGGTAAAAGATGGGGCACACAAACACCCCTGGGCTGCCATGAGAAAGAGTGGGGGGAGACCTCAAGGGACAGGAGCCGGGGGGCTGCTGGAACGTGGAGGGAGCACAGACGTGAGCCGGGGAGGAAGCTAGGGAGGAGCCCTGAGTGGCAACACCAAGCAGAGGGGCGGGGATCCACCCCCCACCCCCGAGCAGTTACTTGCTGGGTGACCTTGAGCAGATGGCTGCCTCTCTCTGTGCCTGCTTTCCCGCCCTGTGAACCGAGGGTGATAGCAGAACCTCTTCAGAGGGTTGTTAGGAAGACATAAGGAGCTGGACCAGTGCCTGACACGTAGGAAACACTCTAGTGTGTTTGACAAATAAATGCATAAAAAAGCAGAGATAGGACTTCCCTGGTGGCGCAGTGGTTGAGAGTCCGCCTGCCGATGCAGGGGACGCGGGTTCGTGCCCCGGTCCGCGAAGATCCCACATGCCGCGGAGCGGCTGGGCCTGTGAGCCATGGCCGCTGAGCCTGGGCGTCCGGAGGAGCCTGTGCTCCGCAACGGGAGAGGCCACAACAGTGAGAGGCCGGCGTACCGCAAAAAAAAAAAAAAGATACTAGCCCAGTGGAGCCCACAGAAGCATGGAAAATGGCCCATCCACGGCCAAAGATTGCCCTTCAGATAATTTCTAAAGTGAATTATCATAAAGCTTTCCAGGAGTTATGGACCATCCTGCAGCAGTATTTCATATCCTAGGATGTCCAGACTCACATAAAAAGAAATTATAGTTGGAATTATTACTCACCCAACTTGACCCGAGTCAGCTACTAAATTTAATTGCCTGAAAATCTTTAGCCTTAAGGTGGAAATTATGTTGAGTAGATTCATCTTGGTCTGCACAGGGAGCTAGACTAGGAGGCTGGGACTCTTCCCCTTCTGATTGCCTTGAGCCTTGTTCTTGACTCCCCCCCAGAAAGTCCACTGGCCATTTGGGGAGTTCGTCAGTATCAGAAGGCCTCACCCAAACCCCGGTTCCTCACGTAGATCTGTGGTTTAACCACATTACCTTCAAATCAGCCCAGATCTCTGTCTTTGACACTTGAACTGTTGAAGAGACGTGTCTGTCCAAATTTCCCCTCTTGATCAGGACAGCGGTCATATTGGATCCGGGGCCACCCTGCCCCACTGTGACCTCATCCTCACTAATCACGTCTGCGACGACCTCATTTCCAAGTAAAGTCACATGCTGAGGTTCTGGGGTTGGGACTTCACCGTCTGAATTTGGAGGATCACAGTTCAGCACCTCCGAGAGGGTGTCCATAGCATTTGCAGTGGAAGAAACGGCAGAGGTTCTTCTGGTTGATGTCACACGCTTGGCAGGTGACGAGACCGAGGTCCTCGCCCCAGATCACCTGCCCAAGGCGGCATGGCTGC